AAGTTTTTTTTTTTTTTTTTTTTTTTTGTCGACATTTTCTCGTGTTCCTTTAAATCAATGTCCATAGTGAAGAAGAAGCAGTCTCTTCCGTTATCTCCCGTTATCATTATCGTGAATTGGGTGTCTGGATTACAAAGTATCGGGAGAGGGGGAGGGCTTCTCTTGATGTCAAATTCATGGTATTAGAAGAAGTCCATTTATAAACGGTTTACTTTTAAGATTTCATATCATGCCCATTCTCCTAATGTCACATACATAGTCTCGGGAATGGGTCTACCGACTTTAAGTTTACGATGTCGAGAGAGGTCAGTTTATAAAGCTATTAGGTTTTCTTCACGATTTATCTTTATATACCCTCTATCGACTTCTCACACTTTGATCTCTTCTCTTCTCTTTTTCTAGTTGTTGTTCTATTCCTCTCGACAACATGGAACAATGCTTAGAAGGCTTGTCGATTCCCACTATTAAATACTTTTTGTGTTTAGTTAAGAGGGTTTGAATTGATTTAAGACTATGCTAGCTATTCACCGAGAAACCAGCCTTTCTCCATAGTTTCAAGACTTTCAACTTTAAACGTAGTATTTACAACTTACGGGTAGATTTCTGTAGGGCGCATAATTCTCTCAAGGTAATCTAACATAAGATCTTCAACACCATCAACATAATTCAACGGACATAAAGCATATACTATGGACCGATGAATTAGAAACTCAAATCTTTTTATTCTAAAATATCCCGAAAGAGAGGCGTTACGTGTTAGTTGTGGGAACCAAATGTTGCCTTAGCAATGAACACGAACCTAACAAAGTTCTCAATTACTGTAGCCTTTGTTGTTTAATAATAAATATTGAGCTGGACACAGCCATGAATACGCGTATTGGAGAGCCCTTACACATTGCCCATGAAATTGAAACAAATGTGGAATAGAAAAGTAAAGAAAAGGTAATGATACTGCTGGCTATGCCTTTGCCAACATGGGTCAAGATTGTCTTGTCCCACGTCCCCACTTCTGAATCGGGATTCTATCTTATTAATATCCAACTAATTTTATCGTGTCTTATTTTAAAAAATTGTTACATTATTACATTGTTGGGTGTCACAATCGTACTTTCTCATAATGTTGCAAATGATTGTGCGACACTCACCTTCACTACTGAGTGAGCAAGCCTATTCGAATTCCTATCGTCGGCTAATGGTTAAAAAGTAATGTTACAGGCTAGCAAGCAAAAAAGACAACACAACGGCTTAGATAGTATATAACTCTGGTAGGAAAAATTGACGACTAGTTACATCTCCTTATAGTACAGAAGCATTTCATGTTCACTAGGTGTAAACATGATTTTGTCGAAACATCATACTCTTAAGATGCCCTAGACAAAAGCAATAAAATAGTGCACAATATAAAAAGTTTAGCATGCAAGGGGCATGTAGCGATGGGCAGCAACACGCACTAGACAAATATGAACATGACATCCTCCCCCACTTATTTTATATTTGTTGAGGTCCTTGTCAACCGTCTTCTTTCATACTCACCAATATGGCCTACATCAGACTTCAAATTTTCATCTTGTTCTCAACTAATCTCTGCGTCGGGAAGTCCCTTTCACTTTACCAAAAACCCTTGGATATTTAATCGCGGTTTGCTAACACAACACATTCGGCTAGGATCTCTTGTATCTCTTTTTATCTTGACAAGAGGATTTGATGATTTATCCAACGCCATAAAACTTTTGAAAAATATTTTCAGGTGGTGCCCACAAGTTAGTTCTTTCTTTATTATGAAAGGAGGATTTGATAATCTTACTATATATATATATATATATATATATATATATATATATATATATATATATATTTATTTATTTAAAATAAGTTAAAAAAAAGTGTTTTTGTTTTTGAAATTTTGTTAAGAATATGGAAAAATATTAAAAGTGTTATAAATATTTTAGAATAGGAATTTAATAAAAATAAAGAAAAATGGCGGCGTCTAAAGTTGACAGGGAAGTGGAGAATTATTTAATTCAGAAATGGGATCATGTTTAGTGGCATTCACACGTCTTCTTTCTCAAATATAATATTTTTTACAAAAAAAAAAACAAACCAAAATTATCCTCCACGTGTCCTAGTATGATTTGTTCAGAGCTTACCTATTTGAACTCCAAATTTTGAAATTTGAATCTAATAATTCAATTAATTAACAAATATGAATCTCCACCCAAAATTCAACTTATAGCCCTCTCCTACTTTTACGTATTCATGCAAATATTAATTTTATAAAAATGTCAATAAAAAATTAAAATCACATTAAATTTAAATTAAATTAATCAAAATTTCCCTAAATTTTTAACGATATATTTACACTTTCAAAAAAAAAATTACTATCAATATCTTATACATTATCTCTAAATTTTTTAATATTATAGTAATTTTAAAATAATATATATATATATATATATATATATATATATATTAAAGTTTAAAGCTAAATTTAAAAGTATTTTTTAATTTTTTTTTGAAGAACTTTTGAAAATTTTAAAATATTTTTTTTAGATAAACTGAAAAATGGAAGAGTATTTTTATTAATTTAGTTTCAAAATATTCCGTAAAAACAAAATTAGAGCATCAATCACTAAATACGACGTCAACATGTAGCTAAACCTTAGTGAAAATGTGTAAATTGACTTAGTTATTTGTTTGGCTCTGCTCGACTTGAAATTTTCCTTAAGTCGCGTCTCGCCTCCACTACTGTACGTCTACTGTATAAACAACGTCGAATCAGAATACCCGAATCAGAGGATGGTGACAACGGACCCACACTTATACCAATTTTAAGATACAATTATCAATTAATGGCTCTTTTAGTTAATTTTTTTTTTTTTAATTATCTTGATTTTTTAAAACAAGAAAAAACAAATAAATTTTTAGGTAGAAGTAATGTTTATAAATTAAATAAATAAAAATGAAACTAAAAGTAGGGCACATGGTGGACGTAGTATATGGAATGCTACGGTGTCGTATCCGTTTCTTTATACCCACCGCCGTAGGAGTGGGACCCATGAATATGGCAGAAGTAAGCAGGTGCATGTGATCCCAACCCAGTCTCCATTGGAGCGTTCTTCACCCCGAGTTCAATCAAACAAGCTCATGGTTTAGGGTAGGTGCTCTTTTTTTTTTTTTTTTTTTTTTTTTTT